TTACCAAGACCTTTGAAACGATTGACTAGAGTGGTAAATCTTTTGTCCATTTCATATATAGATTCTCAAGAAATCATGTCAAAAGTTTCATACTCTTTCAGAAGCATATCAATTCTGGTTTCCTTTACCTCAGACGTACCTTCATGAGTAGTTTCAAGGATGTTCCAGATTTCTTTTGCTAACTCACACTTGTTTACTCATTCTCCTTCGTTATCTGAGATGGCGGATAGTAAGATATGCATTGCCCTTGAATCCAATTGTGCACTTTTGTTTTGTTCATCAGTCCATTCTTCCTCGTCATCTTCCTTCATGTCAATTGGTCCGTTTTTGACGATTGCCCAAAGGTCGCAGTCAATACCGCGGAGGTACAGGCGCATCCTCTTTTTCCATACTGAATAGTTAGAACCTAAAAACCATGGAGGATTAGAACTGGAGGGAAAAGAATTTGAAGCCATAGCAAGCAAAGGATCTCCTTCTTGGCAACAGTGAGTTCAACAAGAACGGAGCTCTGATACCAATTGTTATTCAACCATGGCTAGTCCTTCTTAATCAATCACACAATCAGTAGCTATATAAGTGAATGCTTGATTGTAAAACAAGATTATATATATATATGATAAGAGTTCTGCAATTAAGAGAAATCAATCACAATTTCTTTTCAATCAAAGGAATGCTACTGCAGTAAGTTCCAATAACTATAACGTATATATAAATAGAATAAAGAAGCTAAGCCCCAATCTGCTAGAGTTCCTGGCTTCAAGCCCCAACTCTAGAGAATGAGACACTTTGAAATATTATCCCAAGCAATTTGAACTTGAGAGAGTGAAAACAACGACAAGGGAACGAAAACCCCTTGATCGAATTGAGTTCCTGGATGAAATCCCCAACTCAATTGATCAAGTATCTAACTCCTGAACTCATTCCCAAATCCTCCCAAGAACTGTCGTGTTCTTCCTGAGGTCGAGAAAACCAGTGATGTTTCTTCAGGATGAGAATCCTTTATATAGACTCAATGCTTACTTGATCTTCTCTATCTTCTTCAATGGTGTATCTGTTGATTGATGACATCGATTGTGACAGTTTTGCTTTGCTTTTCCAGATGCAGGTTTAATGGCGGTCTTTGCCTTGGAACCGAGAAGAGAAAAGGAAGAAGGATTGAAGGAGATGTCGCAATGCTGGTTTTTGACGGAGACTTCAAAGATGAAGTGAACTGTGTCTGATTATAGTGGTTGGGCTGATCTTTATGGGCTTAATTCGTCAAGGCCTAACAAGAATTTCTCATAGTAGGTCTCTCCCTTTTCTCCTTTAGCTCAACCTCCTTTATATACCTAGATCTGGATCAGGTCACGGTCTTAGTTCACGATCGTGAACTGCATGCCCAAACCGCGAACCAAGGTTGAAACGCGCCACATTACTTATCCCAGTTCACAAGCAATGGCTTGAGTTCACGGTCTTACGACCTTTAACTGACTCGTGTCTAGAGAAAACCATTTGTATTCTGGATGCCTGGCAGTTCGTAGGAATCGCCTCCAGTTCACGGTCTTAGTGACCGTGAACTCACAGCCCAAACTGTTATATGCTTATGTTTCCTCCATTTGACTTGATTTTTCGCACTTTCTTCCAACTTTTGACACTAAGGTTGGTTCCACCTGCCAAAGTCTGAAAACACCAAAAACAAGGCATAACCCGGCATAAAACCGAAACTCCCTGAGTAAAAATGCTTCAAACGACTAAGCAAACCGGGGGTAAAAAGTGTACAAATGAGGCTGAATCATATCCTCCACTCAAAACCTAAAAAACCCATTAACTAATTAGCAAATAGGTGGGAAGTAGGCTAGGGTACCAGTACCCGAGTAGAATACGACATTGATTACCGCTATACGACAATGTCGTTCTAGGTTAAACTTGGCCTAGGATGGGATAGTTGTTGATACGTGCTAACCTCTAACAATAACCTGCACGAATTCAAGTGATCAGACTCCTCTGGCCTCAGAGCAGTCTACTCAGTAGTGGATCCACGGTATCTTCGGTGATTTCTTCGGACATACTTGTGAACGAACTCAAAATGACCCGTTTGTTCCGGGGGGATCAGAGCTCTCTCCTCTGCCAATCCATTTTCCTTTATCATTCCTCATGTGTATGAAAAGAACAGTCAACACAAACCAACAACACAGTTCATGATAGGAATTCAGAATTTTCAGAGGAGAAAACCACTTCTTCCCATTCTATAGAATTACCATGCTCATAGGTGAAAAATGGGCGTTGAAAAGCTAAGTTTAGAGCTAAATCAGGAAAAAGTAATTCTGTAAATTTCGAAAAGAAGTTCAATTTAGCATGAATAAAGCTGAACAGTTATAGAAATAGAGAGCATAGTGAGACAAAATTGGGCATGGAAACTACAAACAATAACTTTCTCAATAAACTATAAGACGAACAAAATGCGAGAACGGATTATCAATCTCCAAAACAAGAGTGCCCAAAACTCAAACCAATGTTAAAACGAGATCAACATAATGTAGAATCAAGCATTTCGTCCATGAATTTGAAAATGCATACGGTTCGAGCAATCAATCGAGCTCTTGGTGGGTGGAATTTCACAAACTCAAACATTTACACACAGTCACCCACCAAGGCCTCTGAATCCACACACAACTCAATTATCACACATGAAATGATCCTCAATCACCAAAAAACTCAGAATTAAAGTGTCAATCCCTCAAAATTAGAACAAGAGCTCGAGCTCCTCTCCCTCTCTAGTTCGACTGCCCAAGTGAAGAAAGAAGGAGAAATGTTTGAAAACATACCTGGAATCACCTGAAGATATGATTAAAAGCTGAAAACCCAATCTAGGCGAGGAAGAATCAATGAAAATGGAGATTGGGGTGAAAAATGGAGTTCTCCACCTCCAAACTCGAGTTCCAGGTCAGGAAGTTTGAAGAAATTGGGGAAAAATGAGTTCTGGCCTGAGAAGCTCCCCCCACGATCATCTATTATATGACGCGGGCAAGATCGTGGGCTCGAGGCAAAAGTTGAAGGCTGCGATCTTTTTGCCACAGGTCGTGATCTCTACTCCTTTAACAGACTTCGCGGGAAAGAAAAGGGAAGATCGGGGCGCAAAGAACATCAAGGAGCCGGCGATCTTGAGTTGCTTGTAAAAATTTAAAGCATACACTTCTTCACTTACCAGCGGGTGTTTGACTAAACGACATTGAAATTAAACGGCAGGGAATAGGTAAAATTTTCCTAGAACTGAACTAATAAAAATAGAAAAACTCCAATGATAAATCAATTAAGCTAACTAGAGAGGGTTGAAATGAAATGCAATAAAGTGTAAGGAAATCCAAATTGATGTTGAGGTGCCTCCAAACTAGCGTGTCTTTTAGATCATCTCACCGAACCGTTGTCTTCAAGTTCTTGGCCGAACTAGCACCCCGTCACCATGTAATAAAATCTTGGTTGACCGCTATTAAATCCACCAAGAGGGATATTTTTCGGTGTGGCCTCGTTTGGGCAAAGATTCGCAAATGGATCCTTTCTAAGAGAACTTAAAGGTCGAGTTGGACATCAAATGCACTTGGAACCGCCCTTCGTTTTTATTTGAATTATGGCTTCATGTAGGAATGAACAAGATCTTCCCCTTTCTCGTGGCTCTTTCCTTCCTCCCGAAATGGTCCATCTCCAAAGAGCTTGCTTGCTCGATGATATCTCGGGAGCTCTGCGAGATGAGTCCATTTTTCTTATGCAAGTCTTCTTGGCTAGCCTCTCCAACCTCCTTTTTTATCTCATTTGGCGAGGGAGGATCTCTAGCAAGTTGTGCACACACTTTCTTAAAAATCTCACCTAGCCTCTCTATTTTTCGGAGCATCTCCTTCGTTGTCCATAGTAAATAGTATTCGATAGGGATGGTGGTTGAGGATTCCACAATGGAGCACGCTTCATTATCCTTAGTGAACTGCTCCATCAAGAGCTCTAAATGGCTTTTTGATTCCGGTTGTGGAAGACTAACTGTGTTGAACTAGAAAGCTTATTGTAATTCCCAAGGGTAAATTTGATTTTCTTGGAAGGAAGGTGCACAGAAGCATCTGAATCCTTGACTTCCTCCATCTTGATCGTTCCATTAAGCTTCTTGGTAGTCATCTTTAGCTAGTGGTGAATACCCCCACACTTTGGTGAAGTCATAAGCGTCAATGATTCGAAGCTATAATTAACAAAACTCTAATGGGAAAATCAGGCAAACACAATGGTTTTCTACTCGGTACCAAGGCTCCCCAACAACGGCACCAAAAATCTTCATCACATTCATGCGTGCAGATTATTGTCAGTGTTTAGCACGTGTGAACAACTACCCCATCATAGGAAATTTTAACCTAAATGAAGTTGTTGTATAGTGGCAATCAAGTTCGTATTCACTCGGGTCCTGATACCCTGGCCTCCTACCCACGTTGTTGTTATCAAGCTGATTGGTTTTGGACGGCCTTGTACTAGCTACTATTTTGGGGGCCTCTTTACGTTTGTAGAGCTTCAAAATGACTTCTTTTGTAGGGATATGTTCCATTGGTTTCAATGCAAGGCGAGGGAAAAATCCATACACATGGCAACATGCTGCGAGGGGAGTTTGTATCATTATCTAACCTGACAATTTATTAGGTGTTGTAATTTCAATATACATAGGTTGTTTCAAAGCTGCACATATTGTTGTTTAGAAGGCTTTTGAATTAGTGTTGGCATATAACTGAACTATCATAGTTATGTTTCTCTTATGTATCTTTTGCCTACCTTTTATCTATGACAAAAAAAATATTTTCAAACCAAACAGAAGTATGATGCCAATAAACCACAAAGTCATCTGAAAAGGCCCAACAAAAGCAAATTAGACCCAAACAGGATTCCACGTAGAAACAGCCGCAACTTTGCACCCATTTAGAAAACAATAATGATCATTCTTCTTTATAAGTCAAAACTGAACAAGCTAAAACTGAAAGTAGGGCAGGAGAAGGTGCATAATAGCAACTGTGAATGCAGAACAAGTGGAAGTTATATATGTTTGTTACAAGAAAGGAAATTTAAAAGAGATATGAAGCAATTCATTTTGATAAAGGCACACTTCTTTCTTGTTTGTCGCCCTAATACAATGACATTCTTGCAACATTCTATCAATATAATCAAAATAAAAAATTGATAAAAGTGAACAAAGTAGACATAAATTCATTTAGTTAAAAAGAAAGAAGAGGTAGCTCAAAATGAGGGACAAAAAGAGAGACAATAATGCTGTAAGGAAAGCACAAAAGGTTTTCTTTTGAAAACTACTCTTCACAAGCATTACTTATTTCATCACAATATGGAACAAGCTTTCTGCGCTTTGCTCTTTTTCTTCTTCTGTTTCGGTGGTTGAAGCACAACCCTGATGGCTGCATCAAAAACTGCCTTGACATTCTGCATGCATCAATTACAAATAAAGATGAGACTAAGTCACCCTCCGCAACAAAATAATAGTGTTCGTCGCAAAGTAGATTTTTTACCTCTTGTGTTTTGGAGCTACACTCGATATAAGCAGGCGCACCGATAAGCTTCCTTAGTTCCTCTCCCTGTTGCAAACAATGTCGATACAATCGATAATGCATGATTTGAAACTGGCACATCCCAAAATTCTAAATAATTATAATATTATATTGAATGAACGAAGAATTACTAGCCTGAGCTGTAGAAATAGGGACAGCACCAGGGTGATCAATAAAGAACTGCTTGTCATCCCGAAGATCTGCCTCAAAGGAGATCACATAAAACATGTGGATAGCTAAGAATAGGTGTAACCAAACTACATATCCAGATGCCAGCAATATATAACATAGTGAGCAAGTTACAATGTTTTCCTCCCAAAGACCATATGAGAATGTACAATACATTCTTTTCTATGATAGTTATTTTCAACAATATAAAAGCTACAAGGAGGATGACTCTTGTTATTTAATAATCCATTTAATAGTTAACAACAATTGCACACTTTTTTTACTCACTTTTGGGTGGAAACTTTGGTTTCTAATTTGAATAAATTACGGTAGGTAACTAATGTTGATATATTGATAAATTTGTTGGCTAATAAACAAAATAAATTATGTCCTTATCAATCAAAAAGTTTTAGGTAAAATTCTACTATGATCAGCGCTTTCTTTAACTACGTTCCAAAGGAAAACGGTCACATATGTGATATCCAAATGCTACCAAATGATGGTAGAAGCACAGCTCTAAGAGAAGTGGCAACTAGCTAAAAATCCACTTTACTTATCTCATTGAGACTGAATCTTCTATAGTGGTAAGCCTGACCCTATATATCCACTGATTTGGTTCGAATCAACTCTGAGGGGCGGGTTGAATTAGTTTGTCTATAAGGTCAATTTAAGGTTGGATAATCTTTTTGCCCTATAAGCCTCGAATAGGGACAAGTCAAGTTAGGATCTGGTCATTTACTAGCTCGTCTCGACTCGCCTCGAGCGAGTCAAACAGGGTCAAGGAGGAAAGAAGGGTGGGACGGCTCAGTTTTATAAATTGGTCCCACAGGAACTAGTGAAAGAGAGTTCTTACAAGACCAGAGGTAGGTCTGGCCCAGTTCAACCCTAGAATCTTCAAACATTCGCCCACGAATAACTCCTATATATCAGTGCCATCAATGTTATGAAGACAAATAGAAACTAAAAAGGACAAATGCTTTATAAGCAACCAATGGTTATTCATCAAACAAATAGAACTAGCTTAAAGAGCAAATATAATTGATTAAGAAGTTGTCCTTATACACAATAAGGTTAATAAAACAATTAAGTCTAAAGACATAAAGTATTGTGTAAGATCAAAATCAACCAGATGGATGGTGAATCGATACAAGACAATAATAGTAAAGATCATTTACCGAGCTTTGTTCCAACTAAAACAATAGGGACGCCAGGTGCATAATGTTTCAACTCTGGGATCCACTGAAATTCGAAGGACGAAAGAGATTTTTTACCATTACATCCACAAATGAAACTTTGCATGATAAAATATTTTGAAGAAAATATTTCAAATTTTTTGTTGGGAAGATAGTACAATTTTCTTGCTAACCTTTTTGGAAACATTTTCATAACTAGCCTTGCTAATGAGAGAGAAAGCAAGTATGAAAACATCTGCTCCACGGTAACTCAAAGGTCGTAACCTATTGTAGTCCTCTTGTCCTGATCACCAAGTAATTGAAAACAAGATATGCCTTGGTTGATTTACGTCCATCATATAACAATCCTCAGGAAAACTTGAGATTAAGATAAATTACCTGCGGTATCCCACAAACCCAAGTTGACGGTTGCACCATTGACAACAACATTTGCACTGAAATTGTCAAACACAGTAGGCACGTAATCCTGCAGGCCAAGGAAGCGAAAACACATTGTTGTTACATGTAAGAAAAACTTCATCATTGACTTCATAATTGACAATATCCATAAGATAACGAACAAAAGCATGCAGTTATCGCTCTTAGTAGGGAATTGAAAAAAAAAACATGGAAACCAATAATTATAAGCATTGTAGTATGAGTCCCTCAAACGCATTATTGGGTTTGGCCCAAAATTCACATATGAGACGCATAAGGAACATCCAAGTATCGCAATTGAATGCACTAGGGAAGAAAATGTAGCCGGTAAAATTAGTAAGGAGGCAAACAAAGTCATAATTATTATTGTACCGTGGGGAAAGTGTTGCTAGTGTAAGAAATCAAGAGGCATGTTTTACCGACAGCACCATCACCAACGGTGACACACTTGATGAACCTTGAAGCGCTCATCTCTACTTATTATTGCGTTTTATTTGTTTCTTTTTTCTCACCTCTCTTTTTTTTAACCTTTTCTCCTTCCGTTTAACTCAATACAAGTTCAAATTAGAATCCAAATGAAAAAAATAAAGGAAACAAAAATAAAATTAAGCCTCAGATCTTCGTCTGAGGACGCTCCTCCTAATCAAACACAACAGGGCTGTCAGCAGAAACCACCGTCACCAACTCTGCTTCCAACTCAAGACATCGTTTGTTCATTGAGAAAATATCTCGGGAAAGGTTAATAATAGCGAGAACAAGAATGAATGATTCTCTCCAAAAGTATAAGAAATGGAAATCATAAATCACAATAATGGTTTGAATGAGGAAGAGAAATAGAGAACTGAAGATAGAACGTAAGCCAAACAAAAAAAAAGAAAGAAAGAAAAGTGGGATGAGAGGGGGGAAAATAAGGAGGAGAAAATTTGTAAAGTCTGGACAAAGAGATAGAGAAGAGATGGGTGTGTGAGAGGTAGATGACGGTTTGGTTGAATGGTGGGTGTTTTTGTTGCTCTCGCCGAACTTTTTTGCTATTGACGCGTTCGTTGAACCAACAATTTTTTGCCAACTCTCCCCTTACTTTCCCAAGTATATCTCCATTATTAATTATTCAACTTTCCTACATTGTTTTTGTTTGTAGCGTAAAACTCGGAAGGAAGTACACTAATGGTTGGCTTAGTTGAAACAAATATGGAATGGATGGGTAGCACAAAAAGTCAGACCCTTCTATATGATCTAGCTTGTACCTTCGCCCAAGATGTTCACAAAGAATATGAGCAATCAATGCTCAGGTATTATTAAAAAGTTAATAAAGAAGAGAAGCATAAAAAATTACTTTCATATAGAGGGTCACTCTTTGTTTGTTTATCTTCTAGTGGTTACCTATTAAAAATATTTATCAAATAACAATTTCAAAATACTACATTTTGAATTCAATTTTTAAAGTAGTGTGGACCATTATATGAGATGGTGATGAACCAAGCTGTTGTTGGTCACTCCTAATGGTACAATCTATACCAAAATGACTATTGTTCTTACTTCTTTGCTTGTTTATGTGGTTAGGCCCGTGTAGATCCTTCATGTTTTTAGTTTCTTTCTAAGCAATTGAACGATCCATATTATCAGCTGAAAGCAGCATCCTCTACTCATGGACTGAGAAATCTTACTGACTAATCGCATACTGGAAAATAGTAGTTTTTTTACTAAAAATGAAATCTCGCACTTGTCATGTACTCAACCATTCATGTTCTGGCATCTCAATTTGGAGTCACTTTGTATGAATGGAACACCTTTATATCTACAAAATTACTTGAGCATGTGCATGATGCGGATAGAGGTGATTTTTTTACGCTACAAGAAATATTCTCAGCCATGCAACCATTTCAGACCATTGAATGCTATACTCTAGAAGACTTGCCCTAGCCTACCAAATTAGTTTTAATTTGATTGTGCCTTCTTGCTGACTCATATATTGGACTCTGGATATTATTTGTACTTTGTGAGTATGTTTTAGGAATCCAACACCTCGAAGTTGGATGAGTTTGTTAAATTTGTTGAGAAAGTAAGGAAGTATGGTTTAATTGATCTTTGCCCAGTTTCAAACTGATTCTCTATCCTCCCCCTCAAACAGGAGCATGAACACCGTTAATGCCCAGCTTGAAAAAACAATGAATAATTGATCTTTTCCCAATTTCAAACTCTGAGGGGACAATCACTTCTTGGATCGTGAGTGTCTCTTGAATGTCGAGGGGGCGAGTATTTTTATGCGTCGTGAATGCCTTCCAGGCGACGAAGAGGCGATTTTTCTTGGATTGTAGTACCTTCTGAATGCCGAGGGGATGACCATTTCTTAGAGCATGGATGTCTCTTTTAGTGTTTTGACCATTTTTATAAATTTATAATTTTTTTTTTGTATATGATAAAGAGAGGAAGAGAAGTGTGTGGAGGTTAGGGTAGGGATATATATAATAATGATTTAAAAAAGGAGGTTTTATTGGGTCTTGGGGAAATATCTAATAATATAAAGGAATCAAAACATGGGTGGAAGGGGGTAATAAAAATGGGAATGGGTGGGAATTTCTACTGTTCTTTGGAGATATAGATCTAACATACATTTCCTTCATTTTTACGAGAAAAGATGGATCTCCGACCAAATTTATAGCGAACAGAAGGTGGAAGGCGTGATACCACCATTGCGATGCATCGTGTTTAGAAGGCCATGAAGGATAGATGTGGGTGGTGGCAGATGGACAAAGGGTTCAAAATATGTAGCCTTCACTCGCGGCAGACAGTTATGCTTTGCCTTAGGGATTTGGCAAGATTAGAGATAAGGCTTGTCGACGGACGAACGGAGGACATCAACTTTGGGGCCTACCTCCTTGGCTATCTTGCGGATGTTGGCCGCAAAGCTGTCATTGCCTCGGAGCTGGTCCCCCTTTTTTGCATAGCAGCTCTCTACTTTCTTGGCTTGACCTTGGAGAAAGAGGGAAACGAGGGTTGCCCTTTTGAGGGACTTGGTGGTGGGCTTCAGCTGAAAGGCGGAATCCAAAAGATAAGACCGATCTGAACTATATCCATGTTAAGGGTTGGTTGATCTGTCTTTCTCTAGGTTCTCGTCCTTGTCTTCTTCTTTGTCTGACTTCATCAGCAGCGGTGGATTCTGCTCCACTTGGTTTTTCTTGACAACATCGACAATGATTGTTGAAGTGGAGAGCTAATCGCATATTATATTCAAGATGGTTTGGATCCGCGTGGTGGAGCTTGAAGGGAATTTGCCAGATTCAACCATTTTCTTCCCTATGCTTTTGGTCTCTGCCAGAGCTTTCCAAATGTGCTTCTTCTCCAATGGCTAAGATGCGGCGGCAACACAAAAATGCCCAAAGCAGAGTTATGTGAAAAAATGATGGGTAACTCACTTTCTAGTTTTGTTTTGGATTTTCTTTGATGAATCAAATTCTTGTATTGGTAAGGGGTGGGAAACAACGTAATGGATGAGACAGGAGATAGACGAACTCACATATCCCCTCATTCTGGCGTAATGGAGTCGGCTCTAGTGACAACACCATTGTTGACTCAATACGTCGTAAGCATGAGATTGAAGAGGAGCAGCATGGAGAATGTTCACTCATGACTATAAATCGAAGAAAATTTCTTGTAGACTGAAAACTGAAGAATGAGGATTTGCAATAAATGTATGGAATATCTACAACCACTTTTTTCTTTTTCTTCTTCTTTGGTTTCCCTTTATTGGATTCAAATTTCAGCTCTTTTTCCCTGATGAATCTGCTAAATATATTTTATTTGATAGATTGATAATGCATGTAGTACATGAGTTGCTGATTTTTTCCAATAGAATGCTCGCTTACGAGCTTCTGATTTGTGGGAGATACAACAAATACTATTTAGTTATAAATAGGAGTGGAGCCTCTGATGAATTTATGAGATAGCTAATAATGGTTGATAGTTGCTTCATGTTTGTTGCAGGCTATTGACTGAGTATGATGGGTCTTGATTAATGTTGTCTATAGGTGCGGGTGTTATCTGGAGCATAATGGGTGAGCAGAGACAACATCGGTTGTCTGTATGGTCAACATCCATTCTTACAGAACCCAAGGAATTGTTTAAATTCTTGATCAATGATCTTCCTTTGGTAAATGGATGAACTGCTTTGGAGAGACTTCAAAACTGCTTGCTTTTTCTTACAAGTTCAGCTCAAGTACCGACCATTGTCGTGGTCAGTAACAGTGGCATAGAAGATTCAGCAGAACAAGCTTCTCGATGCTTGGAAGATAATTTTATTGAGAGTGCTGGAGTTAGTAAGGTTACACTTTTCAAGATTGATAGACTGAACTTGACATGCCTCTACCATTTCATTATTTCATTCCCGTGGTCCAAAAATGAAGATTTGAATTCAATGATATATTGATCAATTAGGAGCACTTAGGTATCGTTTGCTAGTAGAATTTGGGGGATGGATTTGGCACCCAAATCCCAAGCATCAGGGAATTGACACAAGTCCATTGTTTGCTAAGGGACACAAATCCAAAAAGGGTCCAAATCCGGGGACCCCACGGATTTGATAATAGAAAGCAAAAATGTGAGACAAATCCATCATTAATGCATAATAAAAATCAACTAAACAAATAACGTACTCTTCTAAATCCATGATGCAATAAATCCATCATAAATCCAAAGGTATTTAAAACTGAAAACCTTTATTTTCAAATCCAACAAGAAAATGAGCCGTTAAGATTGATGAAATCACTCAATATCTTGGAGCTGGACACGTGGGGATAAATTACATTTTTTGCATCGGATCTTAAAAGGTGGATGTGTTTTAGTGGTTTGGTTTAATCAATCAAAGAATATAAAAGGAAGGCCATGTGAAGCAGCCCAAACAAGTTGCAACACATAAAGAATTCTAATTTCACTAAGGAAAAAGAAGAACGAAAAGCTGTCGTGAAGGAGAAGGAAGGGCATCACGTGTTGAGCTGATTTTTGGAGGTTAATTAGTAGTTTTTATCCTTATTAAATTAATCTTATGTTTCCTACTTAGTTTGGAATTTGTTTTCAGGTTCTTTGAATGTTAGATTTATGTTTTTAGACCTCTATAACAGAGATGTAAGACCTACGAATTTTGTAACCAAATTCATATTACAAGTTTTCTGCAATAAAATACGAGTGTTTACTAGTGTTCATCATTGAATTGTGCAAGCTTTCTGACAAGGAATTTGGGAGGTTGTAAGTTTCGCTTATCAACTAGACGATCACATCTAGTTGTGGCGAGCTTCTACCAAATAGAGATTGGCCTTATTCACGAGTTAGAGATTGTTAGATTGAAATCTATATCAATTTACCCGTTCTCACGAGTTGGAATTTGTTTAATCGTGTTCCACCTTATGCTTTTTTTTGTTCGAGTTGAAGAAGATAGTTCAAAAATCATAAAGATTGAAGTTGCTCTGTACTTCAAAATTAGTGGCAAGAAAGATGTTTTTGAAGGTGTAACATTGACATGCAAAAACACAACACCTAACAATGGCCAAGTGTTGTAACCAATGAAAGGGACTGCAGTATAGTGGCACAAGTAATAAATATCGAATCCACGGGTCTCTAGAGTTACTATTACTCAGCTTCAGTTCATTATCTAGCAAACTAGATTAAGGATTGATTTATAAACTACTCTACTGACTACTCTACTAATTACAAGTTGGGAACTCACTTAGGTATGATTCCCCCTAGCTCCTCAATTAGGTCCAAGTTGCAATTACCTTTGGTTGATCTACTGTTGATTAAACTGCAGAAGATCCTAAATTAGCTTGGAATCTCTTAAGCTGACCAAGCCCTCTCAGACAAAATACCCGGCAGGCGACTAGCCTTCACAGGAATAGATTGATAAGGCGATTCACACAGATCTCCACTACTGGAATGAATTCCAGTACAAAGCAGTGAATTGGTTGACTCTC